TGAAGATGGGGTGGAGGGGGGCACGATGGCCAGAGTGGGATTCTTTTCTTGATTTCGCTTTGGTTGGGTCAGCTTTTACAGGTTGTGGTTTCTCTGTTTGCTGAGTTGTGGAATCTGATGATTTGCGGTGTGGTGTGACTGCTTGGGTGATAGGGTCTATTTCCATGACGTTTTCTTCTTTGCCTAGTTTGGTTATGTGCTCCTGTGGTTTGGTTATTCCCAGGCTACTCTTGGTGACAATTTTAAATATTTCTGTTGAGGGGGCGTCGTCTGGAAATTTCACCTCCGGCAGATTGTTTGCAGCAAACATTTCCCTGATCGTTTTTCCAAAGGTTCCTGGTTTTGCAATGTTGTTGATGTGTGCATGAATAATACTGGTTAGAATTGTGAAAGGTAATCCTTCGCTCAGATTGAGGTATGTAGGTTGCATGAGGGGATTTTCTTTGGCTTTCTTCAGGACTTTGGAGGTGGTATCTTGCAGCTTTGCAATTGCTGCATATGTCTTGTTAGGGTCTGTTTCCATCTTCTTATTTGTCTTTTCTTTTTCTCTCAGAATCCTGATTATTTCTTTCCTTATGGGACAGCGTGCTGCTAGTGTTCGGTGGTCCCCATTGCAGTTCAGGCATTTGGGGTTATCTTTATTGCTGCATTCTTTGAATGTGTGGCCCTCTGCTGCACATTCGGAGCAGAACTTCTTATCTTTTTGGGGACAGTTTATGGCTAGATGATTGTATTTATAGCAGTTCCAACACGGTGTTATTGCGTAAAATTCCTCCTGCTCAATTTGTTGTTTTGACAGATGGTAGTGGGAGATGCAGAGGCCACTCTCTAGGGCTTTTTGTGCCATGGAGATCTCTCCAAACCTGACCATCATGGTGGGAGCACCAGGCATTAGCACCACCTCCTCAACTTTGGCCCATGGGTTCTTCTCTTCTATATTGTTAGCAATGTAGCTTGGTGTTTCTTTAAGTATATTTTTGTCTACCCTTTTAATTACTACGGATTTTTTTGCACGTAGTTGTGGTGGTATTACTGTTTCAAATCCTCGTTCTTTTAATTTCTTTGTTGAGTCGGCAGAGAGCATATTATCTACATCCTTTTCTTCCAGGCACAGGACTATGAAGGAGTCCTTTGTTTCGTTCAAGGCGGCAAATTTGATGTTTAGCTGGACACATAGTAGTATGCCCAGTTCCTCCTTGCGTTTTTCGGATACGCCCCCCCAAGAGGGAGCGTACCCGTATCCTGTTTCCAGTTGTCCTAGTCATTTGCTTTGGTCGTTCTCCGTGGCATCAGTCTTGTTGTGGTTTTACGGAAGTTACAGGCACCCTACCTATTCCGGGCGAGCAACCTAAACACAGGAATTACAGCACTCCCCACCGCCACTTGCTGGTCGAGTGGTCGTGGAGTGGTTCCTGTGTCACTCACCCAGGAGCCCCGTTAGGGAAACCTATATCCCTATTGTTGGTGATTGCTCACTTATAGGCGTGAGCTTAAAGTGTACCTATTCAGGGGAGGGGTGGAGGATTAAGGATTGCGACCCCCTTCCTAGGTGGACCCGCACGATCACGGTTTCCCAGGAAGGCTCGGCGGAGGGGTGGGTTCAGCTCCTACCCCTTTTCGTGTTCACAATCTCCTACAGTGGAGGTTAACAGTTACAGGGGGGGACCCAAGGACGAATACACCTCTAGGGTGCAGGTCCCCAGGCCAGAGCGAAAAAGAAGAAAGATCAAAGAAAAGCAACCAATGGTGCAAGTGACACCAGTGGGATCGCGGCCCAAGTCCGCTGCAGAAAGCCGTTACAGATCTCCCAATCAGGGCCGCCTCTGATCAGGAGTCACCCCTGATCAGTGGGGAGGCACAGAAAGGGCGTTGTCTGGAACGAGCTTCCCGGGTGTGTGAGTAATGGTGGTGAGGTGGTCGTTTTCGTTCGGGTCGTTAACGGTTAAAGACAGACTGGCAGGCTTTAGCAGTGAAGGGTCAGAAGAGAGGTCCGTTCACGGCGAAGGCTGGTTGGCGAATGAGTGCTCTCCGATCGATCGATCGATGGGTGAAGTAAAGTATGAAGAAATCTTGATGCAGGTGCTTAGATTGGTGGTGCAGGAACTGGACTTGAAGAATAATGGTGGAATTTGGAGGGACTTGGGGTTGGTGGATAGTGCAAGAAGAAAAGCGAGGAAATTGGAAAATAGTAGTAGAATGCTAGGTCTTGGGGCTCAACCCAAGTGCTTCTGTTATCTCATGTTTGTGTTTCAGCTAATTTTCGTCTTAGGTGTTATATTTATGTCAGGTGTTTGTATGTTTAGCAAATATTGCAATTTTATGTCTTACATTTTCGGGTCTTATGTCCTAGCCAATGGTGAGGAGTCTAGGGCAGGTACTTGTGTTTCTGCTAAGAACATCCTGTCTTTTTATGATCTAATGTTGTAAGTGGTAGGGCTGCCAAGGTTGTCACTGGGGTAACCTTGCATCTTTCAATAGAGTGGAGTTGGTGTGGGTTCTAGGGCTCTTCCTTTACTTTTAGGGAACCACGAGTGTTCTCTTCTTCCGTCTTCTGTCTCTTCCATCCATTCTTTGATTGGTCCTGGCTCTATTTCTTCTAACTTTGTCCATATTCTTTTTGAGTGTTGGTGTAGGTAAACGTTTAGGGGTTCTATTTGCGCTCGTTGGTGTAGTTGACGGTTGGTGACTATGTCAGGATATCTGATGTTATACACATCCCTTTGGGCTAAGTTTTGAATTGTCTGCAGTTTCTTTATGTTTGTTTGTTTTATTGCATGTAGGGGAATTGGTGGATATACTAGTCGGGATTGGACAAAGGCTCTATATAACTTTAACTTGTTTTTTTGTTGACAGGCTTCTGAAGCGTTTTAATTTAATTACCATGTTTCTGGTTTTTGCAAGTTTTTCGGTGATGAATGTTTTGTAGCCTTTTGTTGTTATCTTCAACCCTAGGACAGTGCCTTCCATGGCATATGGAATCACTTTGTTGTCTACTATAATGGGGTCTTTTTTCCTTTTAGCGATTGGGATTATTTTGAACTTGTTGGTGTTCGTTTGTATCTTCCACTTTTTTTCGTACTGGTTGATGTTCTCTATTGCGTTGGCAGTATGTTGTGCCATTATTGCTGTTGATTTGCCAGGGTATGTGATGATTTGTGCGATATCGTCTGCAAAACTTATGTATTCACTGTAGGGAGCTGGTTCTGGTAGGTCTGCTGTGTAGATATTGTACAGCGTGGGTGAAAGGACACTGCCTTGGGGTACTCCACTTTTCAGTTTTATGGGTGGTCCTATATAGCTGCCAATTTGTATTTGTGCCGTGCGATCGTCTAGGTAGCCATGGTTTATTTGTTTGTGTCTTCCTAGCATATAATAATTGTGGGTGATAAAGAAGGTTATTGAAGACCCTTCTTAGTGTGCCTATAGGCGACCCCCGGACAGTGGTGTAACTGCACTATCACTGTTTTTCCACTGCCGGATTGGCCTGCGTTCCCCCGACCTCCAACGGACACACACAATCCCACCTACTGTGAGGTGTGCTCCACTGGAGGGGCTCTAGCACGAATACTTAAATATAAGCAGGTGCCTCGGCCAGGGTAAGTGTGGAAGGATTTCAGCAAGAGAGAAAGACCTCAAACCACGTCAGTACCGCCAATCAATAGCTGCCCTCCAGCAGGAGTGTGGGTCGCTCACTCTACCCGTGGGGAGGGCTAACTAGGGTTGACAGTCCTGAACGCTCGTGAGGTAGTCCGGTGGCAGTCGTGGTCGTTTCCAAAGGCGGAGGCCCCCAAGGGGCGTTGCCCCAAAAAAGATTTCTGGGAAGGCTAGTGGTAGACAGAGAGGTCGAGTTGTAGTCAGGTCGTCAACAGTAGAAAGAAGGCTGGCTGCTTTGGCGGTGAAGGATCAGAAGAAAGGTCCAATCACGACGAAGGCTGGCTGGCTTGGCAGTGAGGCCTACGCGTATTTATACGGTTGCTCAGGATCAGAGAAGTGAGGTGTGAAATGTGCGGGGCCAATCACCGTGCAGTTCGCAAGAGAGGCCTGGTGTGCTGAATTCGTCGCTGCTTGGCTGGTAAGCGGAAGGTCATAAATCAGTGAGCAGTAGTACTCCTGCGCCCGCACCTGAGACCTAGTCTGTGGATGTCGCTGGGGCTTGTGCTACCTGTAAGCTGATTGGCAGTTGTGGGGAAGAGTATCCACTACAACGTCACCACCCAGTACAGCCGAGTCTTAAACTTTTAAGATTATCTTGTACTGAGGCATCCAATTATTGGTTTGTAATAAAATTCCAAATAAGAAGAGGTTCACAACTGGGCTTACTCCACAGACAAGAGGGTACTGCATGTACTGTGATCAAATGGCTTCTCGTCAGCCTCGGCGAATGTACTGGTGAGGCTGAGCTTCCCCTCACCCCTTTGTACTAACAGTCTGGTGGCATCCCATAAGATTGTGTTTGAGTGTGCTACAAGGGAAAACGGCTTGAAAATTTGTGTCTTGTCACTGTCAGTAGCAGTTGGTGACATTGTAGTGGATTCCTCCCCTACAAACGCTTGTCGCTGAGTAGCCGACCCCGCGAATTCCCCAGTGTATGCCTCGTGGTCTACTGTAGGTCAACCAGCGCCGCCTTACATGACGGAGGTCAACTATTAAGCCACGCCTACCTCTGCTATATAAGACCTGACCTCGTGGTGATCTACCTCTTTCTACTTACCGCCACCAGCAAGCAACATCTCTCAACAGCTCCATACACACGCTCCCTCAGAAAGCTCCTCGCCCTACAGGAACCCTGAGCAAGCTTCGCCCGACTTAGTATCTCTTTAACACTGTGCTGTGCAACAATATATATATGAGAAACACATTGTGATTTTCCTTTCTCCATCCCATCCTGAGTGTGAACCCAAACATCACGTACCCCACAACATTACCTTGGCAATTGGACCCGAAGTTCCTAAGTAGTATAATTAATATTTTATTTTCATTTTTTATTATTGATACACAAGTTTTATTAAGTATTTTATTCGTTTACACTTTACTCCATATGTACAATATATGTTTAGTGTTCTATGTGTTATCATGAATGTTTTGTGTAAATTTTTATTGTTTTTTGTATTATTTGGTACAATGTCAGGTGTGTGTATACTTAATTTATCATAGAAAATGCATATAATATACTTATTAATTAATCACCAAGTTGGCATATATACTGTACTGTACATCACTTCTCCACTACAGTATTCCTTTACCTTTAGTGACACACAGACTGGACCAGGTAAATTGTCTTGATTAAATTAAAACAAGAACATATTAATATTTAGACTTAATTATTACCGAACAAAATAGTGGACATAACAAGGGTACTGGCAAGTTGAGGTTGGTTGGCTGCAGTATTTTATAATGATAACGAGAAGCAAAATATCGCAAATCAGACGCTGACCATCCCAGTGTGACTTCCTTGTGTCTTGGCGCTGAGGAGGTTTTTTTAATACCCCCTAATGCTTAGACACTACATTTTATTTCACTGAAGATTAACCAACCAAATGCTACCTGGGGGTTAGGTTAGATCAGGTTGTTAGGATAGGCATTTGGGTGGTTAATCTTAAGGTAAAATAAACTAGGGGAGGGGCTAATTTTAAATTTATAATTTTTTGACTAGTAAGAGTAGGGGCATTTTAGGATACCAGCAGTGGCTAGTCAGGTTTAACCATACGATGTACAGTATTTAGAACCAGTAACGGAGATGGTCTAATCTTCCAGCCAAGCTTGCAAAGGACACTTGGCTGCAAAGTGTGTACAGTAGTTGGATAATGCAAGGCTAGAAAACCTCGTAGCCCAGAGAAATAGTTAACTTATACCAGCTGGAAAGACCTTAAAGTTTAATTCATTGTAGTTTTGAAGGCTGTGGAGCCTTGGAAGACAATTAATACTTAGAGTAGGGAGTGTCTAAGGGTTGCCATGAAAGTTGACGAATACCCCTGTAGTTGTTACAAAGACCTCGAATCCTGAACGACGGGGGACTTAATTTTCGGTAAGAGACCATGAATCCGAATACGATAAACTGATACTAGGCTAGAACAATTTGGACCCCGGTATTGATTGGCGATGAAGCCCATAGTACGGAACGATGGCGATGACTGATGCTAGACTAGGAACTTTCGGGGCTACGGTTTACTAACACTAAGCTACAAGATATCAGAGCCTGGGACTGGCTGGTATTCTTCTTCCCTCCGAACAGTGGGAAGATCTTCGGTAGGCTGCTCCTCCTGCAGCAGTTCGTGATGGTCATCCTTCACTCGCCAGAAAACTGTTGGCATTGATAACCGACCCTTGTTTGGCCTGAAAATAAACATAAAGATAAATTAATAACTGTAGGTCGCTCGCTCCAAAAGTATCTATACGGTTTTTTGAGAGAGAGTATGATGCAACGTACGAAGGATTTTGACAACCTGACCGAGATAACAGAACTCCCAATATTTATTTTGAAATTCACCAGACCCCTCCGCAAAGATACCCTTTGGAGCGAATTGTATCTTGGGCAGCTTTTATTCTGTATTATTTAATGACGATCTCTTTATGTTATATGCAATTGTTATTTCTCATATACTGTACCCTGTACGTACAGTTGCCCACAGGAACAGTGATCCACCTCTCGGTGGCTTTTCCGAACATGTGGCATCGTCGGAGTCACTTTATGCATGACCGTAACACGAGGAAAGTGCTCTTCTCATGTTGCTGATTCATTCATAAATTGATTCCGACTCCGGCACATTTTCGGAAGGCCGCCGAGGGGTGGAACACTATACCTGTGGGCAACTGTACATAAAAACAAAGACAAGCCTTACTTAATGACTTTGACAGTGACAAATATGCAACAGCCAGCAATGAGTCCCAAGAAGAAGCCAATACCCGCTCCCGCCCACTTCCAGGACGAGGTGGTAGAGGCCACCGACATATCCGGGGAGATAGAGCTGATGACTCCTTCCGCAGAAATCGTCGTCTGAGTTTGTACCATAGACGACGCTTTCGGTGATGTTTTATTTGGTTTGCTCATAACTGTGGTGCTTTTTTCCGGTGCTGTAGTCGGCTGAGGGGTAACATTTTCGCTACTTTCACTATAAGGCTTATTGAGGAATATGAGGGAATGGTTGAGGGGCGTGCGAGGCTCAGCGAGGTAGCCACGCCAGTGCACCTGTTTGCCGGATACTGTCACGTTTTGGAAGGACACGCCGCCGTTTATATCAGCCACTATGCTAGCCTCGTCTGCTGCCTCTATTTTGACGTTGGAGAGCATGAGCAAGCCTTCGGTGACCACGATGGCGCCCTTGGCCAGTGTACCGATGGTGACGTCTTGCATATGAGACAGTCCCTTCACGTTAATCCCGCCAGCTTTCACTTCCTTGATTGTTGTGTTGGAGATGATGCCCTCAGCCATGATGGTGAGGCCGCCTTCCAGGAAGGTGTCAACACTGGAATTAGACATTATCATTCGACTGTCGGCCTGCAAACCTTCCACCTGCCCGAAGTATGAGTTGTTGAAGACGCCAGTGTAGCCGGCCCAGTGGACCCCGGACACTTTGGCCACTTTGCTGCTTTCCACGTCCACGTCCCTCAGTATGCGGTCAGGGGCCAGCAGGTCGATGGTGCAAGAGATGAGGGTGACGTCATTCACGCCATATGTGATGTTGGTAAAATGTACACCCGTAGCCTCCAACCACGTCTGGCAGTCACGCCCGTTTTCCACCGTCGTAGCGTTGGTCACCTCCATCAGGATTAACTGAACGACATAAATATAGGTTGATCTAGAAGCAAATATATATATATTATTACTTGCAGTATATTTTTGTTGTCATCTGCTATACTTATACCATTAACGTTCAGTGTCAATACAGTATAATAATGGTTATCCCTCGTGTAACGATGGCCGGCCCAAGGGCCACCTTAGCGTGAATTTATTTAAGGTGTAAAAGCTGTCGCCACCACAACAACCACACCCTAATTTAACGAGATGCATGACCCAGTGTCTAGGAATAGTCCGAGAAGACAGGACAACTCACCAACTGCGCTGGCTAACCATTACCCCAGAATACGATCCGCAAATCGATTAACATTCAGATCCCCAATTTCTGCTGGGTAGACAGAGGCAAATGGCGTAAAGAAACTCCCTTAGTTTCACCCTGGCTGGGAATCGAACCCGAGTCCACTCGCTTGCGAGGCAAGCATGCTGACCATTACACCACATGCCACCCGACAATACAGTATATGACTGTTATGACATTACAGTTTGATGAGAAATAGGCAGCCATTTGGATACAGCACATCCTCCTCTCTTGATGGTCTTTGGTTCCCACTTGAAGCACCCCCCCCCCCTACCCCGAAAAAAATGGACAACAGATTAATGGAAAAAGGTGAAGAATATAGGCATAGTTAACGCCGTAAAGACGGAAGTCATGGCTGTGTAGTGTGTAGTACACAACCATGAACGTTCAGCGTGTGTAGCAACAGCAGTGTCCCAGTAATTGATGAGTGCTTTAACAACAACAATTAGTTCAGTACAACATCTGGAAGAACCTCAGCACTGCTCGCTCACCCAACCATTTGGCAATTAACAATCTGTTGTAAGAAGTGGCAAAGAGTTGGATATTTTTACAATTAAAGTTACTGTACAGGCACATCAAAGCTCATAATCCTCGACTCAGAAACTAGTAAATGACGTGTGATTGAAGTTCTTATTTGAGTATCAAATATTTACTTACCGAGGATAGTAAAATTAATATATTCTGTGAATCTGAAAAGCTCATTTCTTGTGAGAATCTTAGGAGTATATAATCATGCCACAAGAAAAAGCTCAATAAAGATTGTATTGTTAGCTCAGAGCTATATTAGTCATGCTTCCTTTAAATGCAACCGTAATCATAATGACATGTTGTAAACACCCTGGTATTTAGTTTATCTTGGACCCCCTTTAAAAAAAAAGAAGATAAACACATTCGCTTAGTTTGATATTTATGACCTTGTAAACTCTCTCTCTATCTCTCTCTCCACGAACCTTCTCAATACATGACGGATATAGTAGGACGCTCTCGGCCTCTCTGATGATGGCTCGGTGGCTCAGCTGTCCATCGGCCAAGTCCACACTCACTACCCCCTGTAAGGCGTCCCATTAATGTTATAAGTGTCACATTAATGTTATACGCGTCATATTAATGTTATACGCTATTTTGAATAATAAGACCAAATAAAAAGTTTGTTAAATTTTAAAGGAAGACATTGCAGATCACCTGAAGAGTCGTACCCCAGCTTATTTCACATTAAGTTTAACCACCGTAAGTTAGATTGTGTTAGGTTAGTGTGCGGGTGGTTAATCTTGAGGTAAAAATAGTCTGGGGCCTGATCTTCAGGTGACCCGACATCGCTTAAACTCAATTTTATAATACTACAGTAAAATTAGACATTGCCCAGGTGTTACAACGGGCATACAACAGGACGAATTAAAAAAAAGTCTTTTCATACAACTTAATGCTATGTAGTGCTCAGGTGATATGCTGTTCTACAGTGAGCGCATACACTAATAAGTAATACAACATTATTAGTACAATACAGTGTTACATTGTTTACAGAGTATGTGTGTGTGAGAGGGGGTGGTAGGGTAGTGGTCACGTACCTGTGGGGTGTGAGATAGGGGATGGCAGGGTAGTGGTCACGTACCTGTGGGGCGTGTGAGAGGGGCATGGCAGGGTAGTGGTCACGTACCTCTGGGGCTCGTGAGAGGGGCATGGCAGGGTAGTGGTCACGTACCTCTGGGGCTTGTGAGAGGGGCATGACAGGGTAGTGGTCACGTACCTCTGGGGCTTGTGAGAGGGGCACGGCAGGGTAGTGGTCACGTACCTCTGGGGCTTGTGAGGGGCATGGCAGGGTAGTGGCCACGTACCTCTGGGGCTTGTGAGGGGCATGGCAGGGTAGTGGCCACGTACCTCGGGCTTGTGAGAGGGACATGGCAGGGTAGTGGTTACGTACCTCTGGGGCTTGTGAGAAGTCGCAGATCTGGAGGAAGAGCGGGAGGGAGCGGCAGTAAGGGGACCTGTGCATGGTGGTGACGGTGAGGTTGCTGAGGTCGTCGACGGTGGGTGTCGGCCTCCTGACGTGGATCAGCACCCCTTCTGAATGACGGGCCATCACCTGCCTCGCCACCAGGAACGGACAGATCAGTCACACACTTGTTAGGGGCAAAATATCTTCTAGCTTAACCTAAGCAATCTTGAACTAACCTCAACCTTATTAACCTAACCTTAACTTAACTTATCAGAACTAACGTAACCTAACTTAACCTAATCAGACCTAACATAACATAACTTAACCTAATCAGACCTAACATAACTTGACTAACCAGAACTACCCTAACCTAAGTCAATATATACTCAATATAATAAAAAGAACTGTCCACCCGATCGGGTAGGAAGCTGGCTAGCGGCGAAGAGGATAAATTGGCAAGTAAAGTGAGTGAATGATTGTGTGTGTGGGAGTAATAAGTAACAATGCGAGTGATAAAACAAGTAAAAGTAAGTAAGTGAAGGAGTGAGTGAGTGGGTGAATAAGTAAATGTAAATAAATGAGTAAATAAATAAATGTGAATGGGTAAATCAAAGTAAGTATGACATAACGTACACACCTGGTCCCTTGTAGCGACGGAGATAACGCCGAAAGAAGGCAGGAGGAACCCGGGTCTCACTATTTTGAGCATGCCACCAACCTCCACGTAAATGGCCTCCTTGGCTGCTGAGGTACACAGTATATCGGTAATGACAAGAGTACTGCCCTTACGCACCACCACGCTCTTCCGTTCCAGCCTTGACACCCTAATTAGCGTTATCATGCTTGTTTTGTTCACGTGGTCCACCGTCAACCATCCCTCTTCTACCTGCAGCACATACACACGTCACCATGAAATAAAACATACGTAAATAGTGAGGTGATCTTTTTCTTTTCGGTGACCGGGGAAAAAAGTCACAAAAAATCTAAATTTTAGCAAAGAAAAAAATTATAGGATACTCTTAAATAGCTAAAATAAAGTTAGTTTAAGGTTACGTTTGTACTTTTTCCTTCATTGGAATGAATGCCAGGTAAAGATAAAAAAACATATATAGACAAACAGACAAAACCGACAGAGATAGCATCCGTCTCTTTCTTTTCTCCTTTCTCCCCTTCTTTGCCACCTCTTCCTTTTTTATCTTTTTCTCTCCTCCCCAGTACAGTATCTCGTACACTGTAATTTTTTTTCATTTAATAGCCAGAAGACCCAAAGACGTATGTACAGTTCAACATACTTTTACAGTGCAGTATTTTCATTGTAACATACATGAAAGTTAAATTGATGTACGTGTACTTTTAACTACGTGGGTTTCATTATAAAGGCGTTACAAAAGTACTTTTTTTTACTTTTATCCTCTTCGCCACTGATCGGCTCGTTAGCCGCTTGGGCGATCGGTCACGTCTCTATCACGCACTGTTGGCAAATACTGGGCATGCACCGGCTCCTGAATGTACCTGAACCCACTCCAGTGTTGGTCAAGTCTTATCTTGAAAGATCTCACACTCGGTTCCGTCACAACTCTCTCTGGTAGATTGTTCCAAGAGTTTACAACCCTCCCTCCGAAAAAGTTTGCCCTCACAGTTTTCTGGACTTGCGGCTTCTTCAATCTTGAGCTGTGACCCCTTGTGGGGCGAGCGTCCGCCAGCTCCAAGTAAGGACACTCAACTCAGTAGTGCCCCCTGAGATGCTTATACACCTCAACTAGGTCCCCCCTTGCCCGTCTGTAGTATAAGCTAGGCAAGTTCAGGCGCTCCAATCTCTCAGGGTAGCTGAGGTGCCGAAGTGCAGGCACCAATCTGGTGGCCCTCTTTTGAACATTTTCAACCAACTGACAGTCCCTACCATATCTCGGGGACCAGATGGGGTGACAGTACTCCAGATGGGGAAGCACTTCACTCCGGAAGATCGTTACGAGGGACTAGATATCTGAACGACCTTCTTATAAGACCCAATAATTTATTTGCCTGATTTACCTTCTTCTCGCAATGGCCCGAGAACTTCAGCTCATTGTCAACATACACACCTAGGTCCTTCTCACAGTCAGTCTAAACTAGTGCAGTTTTTTCATCTCGTTGGGACAAGTGATACGCCTCCTTACCGTTGGTACGCCCCAGGTGCATCCTCTTACACTTCGTGACATTGAATCTCAGCAGCCATTTCTTCGACCATTCCTGGAGCCCACAGAGATCCTTCTGCAGCTCTTCACAGTCCGTTTGGTTCTTAATTTCCCGAAATAACTTGGCGTCATCGGCAAACATTTGTATGGAGGAGTGTACAACGTCAGGCATGTCATTTATGAAACAAACAAACAACAGCAGGCCCAATACACTGCCCTGTGGTACCCCACTTGTGACAGGTACAGATGACGATTTCGTGCCTTTAATCACCACACACTGCTTGCGATCATGTAAAAAGTCTTCTATCCACGCTAGGACATTTCCCCAAATTCCGTACCCTTCCAGTTTGATTTTCAGCCTTTCGTGGGGTACACTGTCGAAAGCCTTGGCAAAATCTAGGTAAATATTGTCGATATTACCACCCCGTTCCAGAATATGGGTCCAAATATCCAATACCTTGAGCAATTGTGTTAAGCAGGAGCGCCCCGGCATAAAACCGTATTGGCAATCCTTTACAGGTTGTTTCGTATTAGATGTTCCATTGCGGCATCTCTGATAATACTCTCAAGTACTTTACATATTTTGCTGGTCAGGCTCACCGGTCTATAGTTGTTCGTGGAGTAACGATCACCCTTCTTGAAGATAGGCATTTACAAAACAGGATCTTCAGGGGCTCTGCAAGCTCGTTGCACAACTCTCTTTGCACTCTAGGATGCACCAAGTCAGGTCCGGGACTTTTATGGACCTTTAGCGTGGACAGTTTATTTCTAATACCCTCTTCTGTGAACACAAGGTGGGTCAGTGCTGTGTCGAACCGTTTGTCCTCAAACGCAGGAAGGTTAGTTGTATCCTCTCTTGTGAACACCGAGGAAAAGAAGCTGTTCAATTCCTCAGCTTTATCCTGGTCAGAATCTGCGTAACTACCATCCACCAGCCTCAGGTCTGATACTCCTACTCGCGTTTTCAATTTCGACTTTGCATAGCGGTAAAACGCCTTTGGGTTTGACTTGACCTCGCTTGCAACCAGCCTCTGGAACTCCTTTTCAGCCCTTCTACACTCTATCTTTGCTTGGTTTCTGGCTCTTGCATACATCCTCCTGTCTTGCTCATCGTTTGACCGAACCCACGTCTTGAATTTCTGGGTTTTCTTCTTAATTTTGTCGACCGCCGCATGGTTCATGTGTAGGGATCCCCTCGTATTCCTAGAAGCACTGGGTTTGGACTCCCAACCACGCGGGTTTTATTTACAAGCTGTCGTTCACCAAAACCAAGCAGCCGTAAAAGACAACAAAATAATTGACAGCGATTGCTAACAAGAGAATGACAGCGTGTGTGAAGGAGTAAATAGCGGGGGTCATTAGTGAGACATCAGCGACAATCATTATCAAGAAAGTCAAAACAGAAGTGATTAAAGAAAAATGGCTACGACATAAACAACTCCTGGGACTCACACAGTAGACTATGACTCACCTTGTTGCGTATATGTAGGTCATTGGCGACGAAGGCGGCCCTGATAGTGAGGTTGAACATGGAACCCACCTCGGTGTTCAGCCAGAAGCCTCCCAGCCCCGTCAACGTCAACCCGTCCAATTTCTCCACCGTGGTGTTGATCAGCACTAAGTTCTCCAGCTGGCCGCCGTGCAACCTGTTGATGCTGCTGTGGGAGACGTTCATGGTCTTTATGTGCTTGACAGAGACCACGTCCAGTTGTGACTGCCAAACCCTGAGGGCGAGGCTGCAGTGGGACTCCGAAGTGACGGGGGTGACGTGAGGAAGGGTGGCGGTGACGCGGTTCAAATGGAGTTTCACCCCGCAGGAGGTAGACATCACCTGCAGTCGGCGCGCATTGCGTATGTCCACCACACTGTAGCCCTGGATGTTCTCCCCCTGCACCTCGATGGTCTGTACACGTCAACCTTGTTATCACTCCAAAATATTTCAAATACTCTACGGTGTAGCGTACCACATAACATAGATATAATCGTGTGACTATATAGGCAAGTGTGTCGGTGGTGCTCAACCTAATAAGATGTGTGACAATACAACATAATGTTAATGTGTAGTGTGGTGATGACACAATACAACAGGAACGGGCGTGGTGGTGATTACACAACATTGAAGCAAGTGACAAAGCCAGGTGAAGCATGATTGTGTGTGAGGCAACGCGGCCTAGCACACCTATCAACAACCTGGGGTGTCGACACCCACAGACTAATGACAGTGTTATGTATAAAAGCCTATGAAATTGATTCTATTCTAAAAAAATACTATTACCTAATAATTTAAATCTTTAGGTCATGGTTTTATTTTTTTATCTTACTATCCACACTCCAGTGAACACACTACCGCATTGATAGTAATCTTTAAGTCACAACAATGTGCTGTATCCTCATTTCCCAAAATACTTTTTATTCTTATTTCATGCTAAGACGGTTTTTCTACGCATTAATAAATTTTTAAAGACATTTGTATTGAATTGCAACATACAGCCTGACAGCCTGCTAGCTTCATGATTATATATATATATATATATATATATATATATATATATATATATATATATATATATATATATATATATATATATATATATATATATATACTGTATATATATATTTATATGCTGATAACCACAAGGAAAAAGAAAACACGAAGTTCCCAAGCGCTTTCGTGTAATTCACATCTTCAGGGGTGAGTACAGACTAAGGAGAAATACATAACAAGGTTGGGTCATCTTACCCTCTGACCTGACTACCGACTGCTGCTGTGCTTTTTGAAGATTAGTAGGGTCACTACCTAATAACCTGACTATTGTGGACTTGCTCTCACCTTCCTCTACTGTATATATATATTTGCCTTGTTATGTATTTCTCCTTAGTCTGTGCTCACCCCTGAAGATGTGAATTACACGAAAGCGCTTCGGAACTTCGTGTCTTCTTTTTCCTTGTGGTTATCAGCATATTACCTGGATCACGCGCACCTACAGTGATTTACTTGCATATATGTATGTATGTATGTATGTATGTATGTATGTATATGTATATATATATATATATATATATATATATATATATATATATATATATATATATATATATATATATATATATATATATATATATAATCAACACCTCAACCCGCCATGATTGTATGTAGAGTCCGCGTGCTTTATTATTAATGAAATATATATATATATATATATATATATATATATATATATATATATATATATATATATATATATATATATATATATATATATATATATATATATATATGTATATATATATATATATATATATATATATATATATATATATATATATATATATGTATATATATATATATATATATATATATATATATATATATATATATATATATATATATATATATATATATATATATATATATATATATATATATATATATATATATATATATATATATATATATATATATATATATATATATATATATATATATATATATATATATATGCTATTGTACTTTTTTCTGTCAGATACAGGTTGTGAACAATACCTCGTTAACGTTGGCAAAGTCGCAGGTCATGGTGGTGTCGTTGGTTGAACATCCCTTACGCTCACTCGCTACCTTGATGTTTGAGTCCTTGGAGATAATTTCTTCGTCGCGGTACTTCAAGTATGGGGAGGTGATATTGAGAGGGACGCCCCCTATGGTGACGTTACTGATGCTTATTCTCTCTTTATCCGGCAGCACGATGCATGGAGTCATGGCCGTCACGATGGTCACATTGGTGAGAGCCAGAAACCCCGATGGACTCGTCATCACAATGGCAATAGTCTCCAGGAAGTCGATAGTGACATTGATGAGGGAAACGGCACCGCTGACGATTGTGAAGGCATATGGAGCCATGTGTGAGATGGTGCTGTTGATCACTGACATCTCACGAGCATCAAACCGCATGCCATCAGTTGTGACGTAGCCCAAGTGACTCTCTACCATGTGCCAGCTGTCTTTGGCCACCACATGACTCACGCGCTGGATGGACGTGTTTAGTATGGTACCGCGATAACCCTCCCAGTCCAGAGCCTCAATAGATTTGATGGTCGAGTTGATTGCCATGAAGTCCCTTTGGTCGACGAGATTGATGGTGTTAACCTGAGCGTCTACGATGGTGAGATCCTTGACTCCATGGGCCACTGTGTCCACCCTGGAATTGTAGATCCTCAGCCACGTCCTGCAGTGCATCTCCTCCTGTAACAGTCAGTCAACGTGAGTAGTGAGGAAAGATATACTTACTCCTTTGGGTATCACTAACATATACATTTAAAAAGCAGGAGCAAATTCTACATCACTTGACAGGAAGCTTGGAAAAACTGATGGAATGTAGCAATGTTCACCTACACTGCTCAAGATAGCCATAAGAACTTTTCATCCCCATCTATTGGCTGCGAAACTAATCATGAGAAGAAAATGGTAGACATGAGTGAAAATTTAAGATGAACTCCCGGGTTTAGCAAAATTCTGGAGCATACGTGTTATCACCTGTGTGTCCGGGTGTGGACATGGGAGGAGCTGACCTTCAAAGAGTTATTTTAAGATTCGGGTGTAAGTTTGTCGTGTTAGAAAGTATCCCTGGTGGTGTTACAGTGTGCCTCAGGTGTTAGAAAGTATCTCTGGTAGTGTTACAGTGTGCCTCAGGTGCTAGAAAGTATTCCTGTGGATGTTAGAGTGTACCTCTGGTGTTAAAAAGTATCTCTGGTGGTGTTACAGTGTGCCTCATGTGTTAGAAAGTAACCCTGGTGGTGTTACAGTGTGCCTCAGGTGTTAGAAAGTATCCCTGGTGGTGTTACAGTGTCCCTCAGGTGTTAGAAAGTATCCATGGTGGTGTTACAGTGTGCCTCAGGTATTGGAAAGTATCCCTGATGGTGTTATAATGTTCTTCGGGTGTTAGAAAGGTTCCCTGATGGTGTTACAGTGTGCCTCGGGTGTTAGAAAGTATCCCTGGTGGTGTTACAGTGTGCCTCAGGTGTTAGAAAGTATTCCTGTGGATGTTAGAATGTACCTCAGGTGTTAGAAAGTTTCCATGTGGGTGTTACAGTGTTCTCCAGGTGTTAGAAAGTATCTCTGGTGGTGTTACAGTGTGCCTCATGTGTTAGAAAGTATCCCTGATGGTGTTACAGTGTGCCTCAGGTATTGGAAAGTATCCCTGGGGTGTTACAGTGTGCCTCAGGTGTTAGAAAGTATCTCTGGAGGTATTACAGTGTTCCTCAGGTGTTAGAAAGTATCCATGGTGGTGTTACAGTGTGCCTCAGGTGTTAGAAAGTATTCCTGTGGATGTTAGAGTGTACCTCAGGTGTTAGAAAGTTTCCATGTGGGTGTTACAGTGTTCTCCAGGTGTTAGAAAGTTTCCCTGGTGGTGTTACAGTGTTCCTCGGGTGTTAGAAAATGTACAAACCATTTTGAGATGGTCAATAGAGACCGCTAGTATGAGTATGAGCGAAATTTCGATAGAAAATAAGAGAGGGTGAGATTGAGAGAGGAAAGAAAGAAATTTTGAGAGAGAGAGAGAGAGGGGGGGGGATGGGGTAAACAAGACTGGAAGTGACAGGGAGCGAAAAAGAAATGGAAATGAAAATAAGTCGGAGAGGAGGGAGGTGAGAGATGGAGAGGTGAGCAAGAAAGAAGAAAGAAAGAAAATGGAAGTGAATGAGAGAGGAGAATAAATCCGAAATAAGTGGAGCTATGAGAAAGAAGCGAGAGAGAGAGAGACACAGAGAGAGAGAGAGAGTACCTTTGAGGGCAGAGTGTTGACGAGGCCAGCGTTGAAGATCTGTATCCAGGAGACACACGTCGGGTACACATGCACCGTATTGGCCTCATGGATCTCCACTTCCAGCTGGCCCATGGTAAGGCGTAGTCCAGCTGGCACCACCACCAGCTGCCCAAATTAAAAACAAATATGGTTGTTAGCATCTCTTCCCACCACCACTTACCATTACCACTACTATCACCACCACTTACCACCACCACCATCACTTACCACCACTTACCACTACTTACCACCACCACCACTACTTACCACTTATCATCATCACCACCACCTTAATAATAACTTTTCTCCAGTACTTTATTATTATTATTATTATTATTACTATTACTTATGTGATGACCTATTCTTTTTTCTGGTTTTCCTTAGAGGTGAGTAATACAAGGCACGGCAAGGTAAACATTGACGAAGTAATGATATTGATTAGAAAATTAGACTCCCCTTAAGACTAGCCCCAACTTATTCCACCTAAAGATTAGCCCCTAGAGACTAACCAAACCTAACCTAAACCCCAAGGTAACGTCAGTGTGGATAATCTTCAACTGGAATATGCTTTGGGTAGGAGGCGAATCTTCAGGTGATCCGAAAATTTTTGTATCAGTGATTGTCTTAGAATGTTGTCACAGTACAGTATGATCAGTAAATTACGTCACCTTCATGTTGTCCTCCATCACAGTACACACACACACACTTGACAAGACGCTTTAATATCTCTGGGGTTTTAAACCTTTACACTCGAAGTTGTGAAGTTCTTTATGGCGGAAATAGGAAAGACAAATTCATAAAGTACGTACTGATGATTTATGCTTGTCTTTATAAGATAAATTTGTGTTTACCAATTTGTATTGTGGCCTGTTACTGAGTTTTAAGAATGAAGAAATAAAGAGAAAATTTAATAAATACATAGAACTCCGTTTGGTTATTGGATGACGTCACCACGGTTATAGGATGATGTCATCACAAGTACAGGAATCAAACAATAATAAGGCTTTGTTGCTACTTATCTGAGAAAGTATTCCTTTATCTGACAAAAAATACCGACTGATATATACATACATATTTTGTTGAGAAAGAGAGGTATAATATACAGTACTTGTATTCTAACTTTTGTAGTCTCGTGAATGACTAAAGTAGTTTGGGAGTGTAAGTCATCTGTTGCTGCTAAAAGGGTACTGTACAAGGGAGATTGTTGTTGTATTCGACATATACAGTGTACATGTTCTGGGTACTCAGTTCTAACTACAGGAGCGAACACAAACACCTGTAGAGTTTTTTGTAGGTTCTATTTGCTGGATCTGCAGAGGTACACAAGAGCCGGTACGTCCTTTTCTCTCTCTATGGGTCAACTGACCTCTCTTTATGGGTCAACTGACCTCTCTCTATGGGTCAACTCAGGCGACATGTGGCAAGTGATACATTAGCAGCTTCCAGATGTCGCCAGGCACATTATCTAAGCGTGTGGTACCTGGTACAGGCATTGCCACACGCTGCTGGCTAGGCTCAATAAGTAGTATATATAAATGGAATACATACATAATATACATACAACATACATAATATACATACAACATACACAATATACATACAACATACACAATATACATACATACAGTACAGGTCGAATTTTCTGTGTTGTGTGCCGTGTGGTTTTGCCATAATGCGTAGTGCTTTCTTATCTGTTTTGATTGTGTTATCTTTTGTTTCAATTTCTTATGTAATATAATTGGTTGATATCTGGTGCTGCCATGTGTGTTCTCGTTTTGTCAGGCATAAAATTGTGTTATTTACGGTTTACATATTTTTTTCTCTTATCATATCGTTACGTTATATTTGTTGTTACAGGGCATATGGTGGCGCGTCGGTGCGGTCTTTGCTATTACCAGGGTATTGTGTACTATTGCTAGGTGCTAATTTTGTTGAATAATGTCTGAAGTTTTTGTTTTGTGGCAAACGTCTGTGTGGCATATGTATTCTAGTGCACAATTACTGGCCGTGTTGACTACACAGGTTACTGGTACCCTTGAAGCGCCCAGGCCCTGAGGCCATCCCAGGGTCCGGATGTACAAGAATTTTGTACGTTGGCTTTTTTTTTTAATTAAATAATGTTAGGAGAAGTAAGTAAATCAAATGTTAAGTTAAAATGGACATAAAATTAGACAGTTTGAGACCTCCAGATCGACGCCTGATTACGAGGAAAACTTGAGCGTTAAAACCTTTTGGACTAGATGTCCAAGATTATTCTGAGAAGACCAACAGTCTGACCCGATAATTGAAGGATTCCTCTTACACCGGACAGATTCATGTGGACGTTATTAGTCATGTAAATCAAACACGACAATGACAAAATTTAATACTGCATAGGAAGGTGTAGCCAAAATTCTCTTCGACGTTTGGTAATATTTTGCATTTACCTGTGATTGGCTTACAGGTGGTGATAAGAATTTTAGATTTGGATATAATTAATCGACGGTATGGAAAAATTAATCACAGGAGTAATATATAGACCTCCCAATCTTGATAGAGTCAATGAGCGACTTACCTGGGATGAAATGCGCAGGGCTTCCATACACAAAGTCTGTATAGTAGGCGACTTTAACCTTGGCCAAATAGATTGGACTGACCTTACAGGTAACTCAGAATCAGAGGATTTTCTCGAGACGATCCAGGACTGTTTTCTAAGTCAACATATAACCGAACCCACCCGGGGTAATAATATACTCGATTTAGTTCTGTCAAACAGAGAAAACCTCATTAGCAATGTCGAGGTAGGGAACGAACTTGCAAACAGCGATCACAAAGAAATTAGATCCCAGTTAGATTTTCAGGGCAGACGTAAGGAAAATTCCACTTAAGTACCAGATTTCAGAAGGGCAAACTTTGACAGTTTAAAGAGGCAGCTGAGAGAGTGGGTGTCGCTCTTGGCCATGAACCTGACAGATGACACCGACCAGATAACGAGATCTGAGATTGCAGAGTTCCATGATAATTTAAATAGTGAGTTACTTAATGCACAAAGGCAGAACATACCATACAAAAAACTCAGATCAGACAACAATGACCCTAAATGGATAAATAATTATTTAAAGAACATCATTGGCCAAAGGAAGGCTATAGGTAGAAGGATAAATCGTGGCGAAATTCACCTCCGGGATTATTATAGGGTATTGGCGAGTAGGGTTAAAACCGAGATAAGGAAAGCCAAGAGGAATATTGAGGTAAGGATAGCAAGGGAGGCGAAGACAAACCCCAAAGGATTCTACCAAATGTATCAAACTAAAACGCGAGAAAAGATTGGACCAATACTGTCAGACACCGGCGAGCTCACTGATAACGACAGAGAAATGAGCAATAATTTGAATAAATATTTTTCAACAGTTTTCACCACCGAAAATTTAAACATGATACCCAGGGCACCGACTTTATTCAGAGATAGTGAAGAAAACAAATTAAGCGAGATAGTAGTGACTAGTAACGATGTTAGTAAGCAAATAGACAAACTAAAGCCTAATAAGTCACCTGGTCCCGATGAGATATTTGCCAGACTATTAAAGGAATGTAAGGAAGAGCTTAGTATGCCCTTAGCAAAATTGTTTAACATGTCCTTAAAAACAGGTGTAGTACCAGAATCCTGGAGGATAGCGAATGTAATACCGATTTCCAAGAAGGGGGATAGATCACTATCCTCTAACTACCGTCCAATCAGTCTAACATCAATAGTAGGCAAATTACTGGAAGCAATCATTTCAAACTCTATTCGAAATCACCTGGAGAAGCACAGATTGATCAATGATTCCCAGCATGGCTTCACAAGCGGACGTTCATGTCTACCTAATCTATTAACATTCTTTTTTCATCAGTTTTCGAATCGGTGGACGAGGAGCACAATTATGATGTGGTATATCTCGAATTTAGCAAAGCCTTCGACAGAGTCCCCCACGAAAGACTAATTAGAAAGGTAGAAGCACATGGCATCAAAGGTAATATCCTTAAATGGATTAGGGTGTGGTTACAGGACAGGAAACAACGAGTGAGCATTAATGGCACTAAGTCCCATTGGAGCAACGTCACAAGTGGAGTTCCCCAAGGCTCAGTACTTGGACCATTATTATTTATTATACAGTATACATAAACGACATAGATATCGGCATAGACGGCAACATAAGCAAATTTGCTGATGACACTAAAATAGGACGTGTTATTAAATCTGACGAGGACTCCACAAAACTACAGGAAGATCTAAAAAATTTTTTCGAATGGTCTGAAAAATGACATGAAATTCAACGTGGACAAATGTAAAGTACTCAGCATAGGAGATGTAAACAGGGAAACCAGATACCAGATGAACAACGATGCCATAGAGAAATCCGACTGCGAGAGAGATTTAGGAGTAATGATAAGTAGGAACCTTAAGCCAAGTAAACAATGTGTTTTTGCTCGTAACAAGGCTAATAAAGTACTTGGGTTCATACAAAGGAGTGTTAGTTACAAGACTAGCTAGGTCATCCTAAAACTGTATCTTGCTCTTGTGAGACCACACCTGGATTACGCAGTTCAGTTCTGGTCACCGTATTACAGAATGGATATAGAATCCTTGGAAAGAATTCAGAGGAGAATGACAAGACTAATCCCGGGCATTAGGAACCTTGAGTATAGAGACAGGTTAAAGCATCTTAATTTGCACTCCCTCGAGAGACGTAGAGCGAGGGGCTACCTGATAGAGGTGTATAAGTGGAAGGCAGGGCTAAACAAAGGGGACATTACAAAGGTACTCAAACTATCCAACCAGGAGCGAACTCGTAACAATGATTTTAAATTAGACAAATTTAGATTTAGGCGTGAAATAGGTAAACACTGGTTTGGAAACAGAGTAGTGGATGAATGGAACAAGTTACCAAATATCATCATTAACTAGAATACGCTGAATAGCTTCAAACATAGGTTGGATGCTTATATGAGCAATAGGGGTTGGGTGTAAACGGGACTGCCCAGTATGGGCCAATAGGCCCGCTGCAGTTTCCTCCATTCTTATGTTCTTATGTTGTTATGTTCTTATGTATTTCTTTAACAACGTCCTCGTTGTAGGGGGAGGGGGGACAAGTCTGTTGCCGTGG